AGTTTGCATGAGCATAAACATATTCGAAGTGTATAAGATTTATGGCAAGCGATTTCACACACACACAGAGACAAGAGAATTTATCCGAAAATGAGCTTGTATTTGATTGTAATGTGAATTTAGATAATATTTATTTTTTACTTTGAGATTAGAAGAAAAGACAGTTTATGAGAAAATTAGAAGTTATGAATGAATTGATGTATCTGATTTTGTTAGTTTAATGTTTTCAAGTATGTTCTTTTATTTATTAAGTTTGAGGGTGTGATAACTCTATGATATAGAGTTATTTTACCACATTTTAATTATAAAAAATAGCTAAGTCATTGTATATTCAAGTTAATTTAAGGTATTTTTTTATATTTTCCTTTATTTAGTTTAATGTATTTGAATTATTTTTTATTTGAGTAATTTGAGTTCATTTTCATATTAATTATACTAATTTGAGAATTTTCTAATTTAGTCTCGATTTTGAAGATTTTCAAATGTAAAGAACTTCATAGAAGTGAAATATGCAAGATAGTTAGGTGCGGAATTTGCTGAACATACTGTGGTATTTTTACCATAACTCTCTCTATAGAATTCTAAATGAGGTGATTCTTGGATATTATAAAGCTAAGAGGAAAGGTTACAACTTTTCTGTTTTTTACTTTGCCATGTTCAGAGTGGAAGGTGGTCAAAATTTGTATCCAAAAGAGATACTACACCAAAAGAGCAACACAAGGCAAAATACTTGAGGGCCGCGACTCTCACTTGTTTCCATAAAAAATTTTCTAACAAAGAAATTGAAAATTAGGTTGACTTGTGCTTATTTAAAGGAAATTTTTTGAGAGAATATTAAGGAAGGAACGACAGTAGTTTTTCTAGAGATTTTGAGCTAAGAATAATTAGGTTGGAGCGCTTGTCCAATTCTCTAGGGACCATGTCCAATTCCATACATCATATGATTCCAAGTGCACTTAAAGAATAAAATGGGTCTGACTCCCATTATTGATGCATCGGCGAACAAAGAACTAATAAATTGTTCCATGATCGTGAAAATCCTTAGCACATTGGACATGCAAAATACAGTTTTTCTTTTCTTTTCATGAAGGAAGATCCGAATCGGAATGTAAAGATACTTATACCAATTGTTAAAAAAATTTTCTTTTTGATAGTTTTATTGTTACAAAACATAGTCCTATAACCTTCAAAAGGTCTATTACTATGTAGGAAATTTTGCTATTTAATTTGCCATGATTTACAACTTGGGGTTACTTGTATATCATACAATATCAATTCATTATGAATAATTATGCTTAACCTGTTAATCATGTCTAATTGGCATTGTAATTCATCCTGGCTTTCATATACAAGTGAAGAAAATGGGCTCAACAAACTTCTTTTAAATAATGAATGTAGGACTTGTAGCCATTCTTTTAGTATTATAAATCTTACTTCACATTTAGTTATGAACATTATTATTGGGGTTATATGTCATCTATAATTAAATTTTAAGGTAATATTTTGTATGTGTGCATACTCATAAATACTAAGCACTAGAACATTTAATTTATTTGTTAATATTTAATCTCTTATTTAAAAAATAAAATTTAAATATTTTTTTAATAAATAAAAAAACATACATAACTACTCATATTTCTTCCCATTTGTTTTGCTTTAACTTGACCGCTTTGGCTACAACCTGATCCAACTAAATCAGAATTGACTCAAAAAAGTTAATGACTTAAAGACTTGACAAATCCGAACACTGAATCAGATCGCATCAAAAGATAACCCCATAATGACCGACAACTTAAACATGGTCTCGCTTAATCACAAGGAAAAACCTGATAAGGACGGTTTAGTCATTTTGTTTTCGTTTTACACGTGTCAACTCACTGTTGGTCTATTTTATACTTCCTCTGCTCTAGACGACGACGGGACTAGCATTAATTTGCACTATCCTTATCCCCTTATTTACCCTCTCTTTCTTCGTATTCCTCGAAACAACTCCAGTCAAACCAAGGTCATTTTAGTCAAAACGTACAACCATTTGTGGACCTGAGAAAACACATTAATATCCAGTTCATTAAACCATCCCAAATCCGTCCTTATAAATACCAACCTCTATTGCTCACGATCAAACTTTTCTCGTTCCCTGTTCTATCGAACAAGAAAAGCAAAGAAGCCTTTTCCTCCGAAAAATCTTTTTCTTTAAAAGAACTTGAAAGTTTTTAGCTTCTCTTTTTTTAGCCTTGATTCGATCCTCCATGGAGATGAGCTTCGATTTGGTGTTGAAAATGAAGGCATTGTTGTTGAAGCTGATTTTGTAGCTGAAAATTTAGGGTCTTTTCTTTTTGCTGATGGATCGGGTGGGAAAAACCTTCTCTTTAGCTTAGATTAATCGTAAAAAATAAAAAATGCGTCGGTCGTTTATCTGCATTTGCGTTTTTCTTGCGACTAAGAAAAAGGTCGAAACAATTCTATCTGGAGATTTTTGAAAAAACCAAATAGAGTTTTCCCGGTTAATTTTTTTTTAATTTTCTACGAAAATTTCGTTTTTCTCTGGAAAATTTGTATTTTTTTGAACACGAAATCGATTTTTTATAAGACATTTTACGCAAACTTCTTTTTTATTTAGTTCATTCTCAAGGTTTATGAGAAAAACTATAGCTGAAGTTCCTTTTGGTACCTTGATTAGCTGGAAAATCGTTGTTTTCTCTTCTCTCAGCAGCCAAACAAATTCTGAAAGTTTCAAGTCTTATTTTATTTTCTTTTATTTCTCCTCCTCTGATTTTTAGCTTGCTTTCTGCTTTATTATTTATGAAGTTCTTTATTTTTTTGGGTAAAGAAAATACTGAAATGTTTTTATTATTACTTTAAATAATAATTGCAGGAAAAAGAAAAACGAAGAGTCGACGATTTCTCAAATGAAGGCAATTTTCAAAACTTAACGCCAATAAAAGCAGCACTGCTCAACAACGAAACCGCCCTCATCAACGCAGTTACACAAGACGACAAAACCCGCTTCTTACTTCACTCGCGTCAACTCATCCACGACTCGGATGATGATGATGATCCTTCAAACCGAAGAAGCGTGGCGTTGAAGCTTCTCCTTCTCTGTTGTTATTTCGACGCAGTCGAATGCGCCACGTCACTGCTCAACGGCGATGCGGAAACTGATTTTCTGCCGGTGGTGAATGAAGTGGACACGGAGACGAAGATGACGGCGTTGCAGGCTGCGGCGGAGGCTCACGCGGCGCGTTGCGTGGAGTTGCTCCTGAAGAGACGCGCCCGTACGGAACTGAGGAGTGAAGGTGGACGAGGTCTGCTTGCTCTGGAGATGGCCTTGTCCAGTAGCAGGTAAAACAAATTGAAAATAAAAATTAAAATGGAAAAGATGAAAGGCACGTCGTTTTCTGTTTTATAAGGAGGCAAAAGCTTTGGTGTTTTTGAGGAACACCGCAAAAGTAATGGCCTTTTTTGGAAATGTTGCTTTCTCTATTCTCGGTTCGTTTTATAATTTATATTTTTTGGTGATTGATTTCTGAAAAGAAAAATGAACAATTTTGGCATTTTTGCATGATTTTCAGGATGGATGTGATTTGGAATCCGGATGCCTACTCCGTTGAAGAATTGGTGGTTCTGCTTAGTGAGAAGGTTTCCTTATGGCTTGTTTGGTTCTCGAGAAAATCATTCTAGTTAAAGAAAAAACTTTTCACATTTGACTAACCTAAATTTTCTCACTCATGAAGTTTTTCTGATTGATCTTCAAGAGTTTTGCTATTTTATCCAAATTTTTAAAATTCGGTGAGAGCCCCATCATCAAAATAGTAAGATAAAATAGTGTTGCTATAATCTTGTTCACATAAGGCGCTGTAATTTAACTGTTAAACGTTTAGTAAGCTTTTATTTTGTGCTTAGTGAAAAGGTTGGGGCTTGCTGTTTTGCTAAGAAAAACAATCTCATTGAAAAAAATAAAAACGCTTTTCACATTTTAAATGAAGATTAAAAAGAAAAACATATTGAAGTCACCACTTTGTCAAAATTTTTCAAACTCCTTATTAATAAGTGGTATTAAAATTCTGAATATTACACTTGTTTGACAGGATTTGACTGCAGTGAAGCTTCTTAGTGAAAAAACGAAAGCAATAGGCGAGGTGGCGTATTCCATAGCCATGGGAGGCAAAATAGTAGCTTTAGCAGCTCTTCTTATGGCAGCAGCAGAGAAAGTTAACGAGTCTATCATAGTACTACGCGACGCTGAATCAGGTTCAAAGGAGAAAGACACCGTTTACCAATGCGTGATCAGAGAGGCATTGTCATTAGGGCGCCGTGATACGTCGCCGTTGAGAGCAGCTAAAAGGTGTTGTACCCTATCAAAAGTCGAGTCCGATAAGAAACGGAAGCTTTTGCTCTGCGAGATCGAGTTGCTCCAGCTGTTCGGAGCCATTGCTCAAAACGTTTGCGGAGACAAGAAGATGACATCACCCTTAATCCGTGCTATCAAGGTCGTGTTTCGTGTTAACCTCGATTTTGATGATGATTTACAGTGGAATTAGGAACATGCAGTTTATTTGTTTATGATATCTGTGGGGAATTGGAAATTGTAAGAGAATTGGACTTTTATGTCCTTGGCAAAAAGTGGCTGTCAGATGTGATGGTTTAATCATTTGATTAATGAACTCTGGGTACTTTGGTAAAAGCAGGGGACCCACCCACAACGTGGGACCATTTCAGGGCTTTGAAAGGATTGTACATTGTTTTCTTCAACAATTCACTTGCTCTATTGTTTTTTTTTTCCAGGTTCTTGTGTCCCTTTAAAGTTTTAATCTGAATTATTGTTTCGCTGATGTGTTGTTTTTGGCCTTACTGTTATCATAGGCTCGAGATGAAGCCGTCGTCGAGCTGCTTCTTAAAACAAACATGGACGTAAATGATGCTGATGCTGAAGGAAACACTGCTCTTCATTGGTCCCTCAGAATGTCCTGGAGTTCATCTTCGCAGCAGATCAGGTCTCAATCTCTCTCTCTCTGCTTCCTTATGGACGTAATTGTTCTTTCTCTAACTTATGATTGCTTTCATGTCGCCAGAATCATATGGCTCCTATTGAAGCATGGTGCCCGAGTAAACCAAAGAAACAAATTGGAACTAACTGCATTTCACACTGCGGCTGCTAATGGTAATACACAGGCACTTCAGGTATAATTTCTTTAACATTGTTCTTATTTTAGGCAGCATATGCTGGTAGCAAGCTTAAGAGTATGTTAAACTCCAAAATTTGAAATTTATTATCTTTGACATTTTCCTTTCAATTGCGCTGACAGGTACTTTTATTGGAAGACCCAGATGGCATCAACTACAAAACTATAATGAAAGAAACCCCGTTATTTTTTGCTGTGAAGAATGATCATATTGACTGTGCTGAGCTCCTTCAGCGCTGGGGAGCAAACAGTGAAGTCCTCAACTTGCGGTGGGAAACAATAACACCCTTTCTTTTAAAGTCATCATTGATTCATTATCACAATATTTATTTTATTGTTTCCAGGAAACTTGCATTGATATTTAACTTAAAAGCTAACATCAATTGTTTTTATTTGTGTTGTGCAGTAGAGAAAGGCCAATAGACTTGGCAAAGTCACAGGACATGCGTTTCATGCTAAACCCAACCAATATTACTCTCAGTAAGTTGTATTTAAGGACAATCCAATATGGTCATTTGTTGTAAAAATAAAGACATAAATACTAATTATTACTACTAGCATTTAATTCATCCAGGCGCTTGATATTCTAATGTGCAGTGAATCGAAATCCCCTAGTTCAACAGATATATGCTCCTTGCTTCCAAGGTGATGAAATTATTTTTGATACATGTGAAGCTCTTTTAACCACGGCAGATGAAGGAAGCTGTACTGAAAGGTGACCACACTTCTCAAAAACTTAAGAGGCGTGAAAAATCCTAGTAGTTTTCATCTATTTAATCCAACTCCCTATCACATTCTCTCACTCTCTCTCGTGGTTGAGCATGTGTTATTTCTTAATAATTTTCTACTGCCTCTGTTTTCTAGAATCGGCACAAGTGTAAAGGCAGAGATCTGTAAGTACTTTGAATCCTCTGGTGGATGTGCCAGAGGGTCTAGCTGCTTTTATGCTCATGGTGAAGAGAAGCTTCGACAGGTGAAACAGGGAATGCACCTCGTTCATTCTTCTGCTGTGCAGAAACTTAAACGGAAAATTTTTGTAGGAGGCCTCAATCCTCTATTGGATTCTGGTTAGAATTTGATCAACATCTGTTTAAGTTGAATTTAGACTTATACATATTTATGATAATGTTGTATTGGATCAGTCAGGATATGTTATGACCCTCTTTTTTACTTGAGCAGACTCATTGGGTAAGTTTTTTGAAGATCAATTTGGGTCTGTGGAAGATGCCCATGTTGCTAGGATTAGAACAGGAGATGAAGTACACTCTCGTGGGTTTGGCTTTGTCACGTTTAAACATGAGAAGTCTGTTTCGAAGGCTGTTCAAGCACACTATGTAACCATCATGGGCAAGCAAGTTGAGATCAAAAGTGCTGTTGGGAGATGGGACGAGTCCTTGAAGCTATCTCTTCAACAACATTACCAGGAACAAAATGGCCAATATCAACCACAATTGGAGAGATCCAGCGAAAAGACAGCACAAGAGATGCCAAGAAGGAAGACCTTAGAAGAGGCTAAAGCTGATCAAATCTCATGGGTGAATAAATTACTCCATGACCAAGCGAAGACATGTTCTGAATCTCAAGTACCCGTTGGCCCCATCTCCACCGACCACAATACTCCAGAATGGCTCAGAACTTTCAAGAAGTGGCTTCCCAGTTTCTTAGAGGAGGTATCAAAGAAAGCAAAGGAAGGTGGCTACCCTCTGTCATCGTTGAAGGCAGATTTCAGGGCTGCATTTGGCCTAGAGCTGGACCATGCCTCCCGTGGCTACCATAAGCTTAGTGATTTTATGAGATCTTTTCCTGATCTTTGTCGCATGAAGGTTACGCCAGTAGGAGGATGTGGATCTCCCAATCACATGGTGCTCATGCCTCATCTACCTAGGCCTGGTTGCAAATTGCTTCAGCCAGTCACGATGTTTGGCCCACCCTGTTGTGCAGCCCAACCTGATGAAATTACAGATATTGATTCCAAGTATGTTCAGGACCTTGTCTCAGATTCTTGTGAAAATGTTAGCACCAGCTGTGGCGAGGTAAAACCATACCAAAACATCCCACAAGAGAATTCAGCTGTAAAGGATTCATCGCTTGTTGTGCACTCAAAGTTTCTACAATTCTTAAAGTCAGACTTTCGCCTCACTCGACCAAAGCTATATAAGGAAAGAAAAAATCAGACAGGAAATGCCGATGATGAAAGAGGGACTGAGGGATTTAGTGATACGAAATTCAGTGAGATAGGGAGGCATTTGGTTCTGGAGGCCCTTCAAAGAAAAAGGAACAACACCTCCGTGTTCTTTCTTCGTGAATTTGATTTCTATCACGTAAGCAATGAACTAACAACACTTTGTGATTGAGCTTTTTTCCTAATGAATTTATGATAAATATATTTCTCACAATACAGAATTACAAGGCAAGCATTAAGCAGGGAAAGTGCTTGTGGTGCAACAAGCCAAATTTGTTGTGGGCCAACTTTCCATGCCAACACTTGCTGTGGTGTGGTGACTGTAGAATGGAAGCAGCGCGAGCAGGTGGTGATTTTGATCATAGATGTGTGGTATGCGACGTCAAAGTGCAAAAATTCATCTTACCCACACTGGATAGATACTCTCACTCTTTACTACATGGAAATATCCTCATACATGAGGAATTTCCTCCTTTTGACCATTCTCATATACGGAAGTAAGTCTACCCTACGCCCACTGTCTTCTTCTCTTTTGGTCATTTAAAAGAAAAGAAAAGAAAAAGAATCCTAATGTCCTTTTGCCTGCATTCTTTGCAGCGCTTCAAAGAAGAATTATCCTTGATGCATAGAAGAAGAAGAAGACAGTAATGCTTGCTTGGAACAAGCAGACTCAAAAAGAATAGGTGGTAGATTGGATGAAGTCTCCCACCACCATATTTTGTACAAACCTCATACAGTTTACTTGGGACTTAATATCAACACTCTTTTCTCTCTCTCTTATGGTGAAAACCATCTGTCTGAGACTAACTTGGTAACTTAATTGTAAGTATGCCTAACCCACGCACACTGAAAGGTTTTCACCGATTTGGGAACAGAGTCAGAATATAAGCATGAGATGTTGTACAGCTTTAGGATGTTCCAGCTCTCAAAGTGATGGATCCACAAACACTGAAGGGGGCTTGTCTGAAATTTTATTCCTTTACTGGGAACCCTCTTGAAATTAGACCACCAAAGCTTAAGAATTCGGCATAAAGTGTGCTGAGTTAAGACATTACTTTGTGTACTTACATGAATCACACAGGATCTGATCGTTTGCATAGTTTCCACCTCTATGCAAAGAACGTATAACTTCAAATGATTATTCCCGACGATGATAATGGTAGCTTACTTGTTCAACGAAAGCATGGCGATAATTTCCAGGGTCAATAAACAAAAATTTAATAGCTAGACAGAGATTAGCTAACACGAGGAGGATAGATGATAGGTGTCTGTTTCAGATTGTTAGAGAGTTTAACCCCAAAGCCAATAATACAAATAGGCCCAACAAACTGATGAACCCCTAAATAAAGAACATCCATCATTCAAGCCTTTTGACACTAGCCAATAACTCTTTTGTACATAATAGCTTTTTCATGGCTTTGCTTGCGATCAAATTTTACTTTCACAATCTGGTATCACTATCAGAGCTTTCCCTTTGATTCTGGGGAATTACCAACATTTTTTCCCCCATGATATACATGTGTTTTTCATATCACAACAATGCCAAAGAAGGCGGGGCATTTATAGAACTAGCACAAAGAATGTTCCTTTATGCCTGGTTTTAACCGAGGTCCAAAAAAGTTTAAAAAGACATTGACAGAGATTGACTTTCCCCCACCCTTCTCCAATCTTTCTTTGCTTTTGTCTTACCTTCTTCCAATGCAAAGTAGAATAAGAAAAGATACAGCAAATGCTAAAACATTAGGCGTGTTGATTACTAATATATTAGGTAACTACAACTACAATATGATTACACTGCTACTTTCTGCAAATTGTCTGCTAGCAAGGATTTATCTGCCTTTTCCTGCAGGGAAAAACACCAATTGTTAGCAGAGTTAGTCATAAGATATGAACAGCATTAAACCCCCAAGCCCCGGAAAAAACACAAACACACAAACATCATACTAATAATGTCCATAATTCTTTCTTTTATATCCACTTAAGTTTCTCATGATACTTTTCTTCCTGTTCTCTTCTAGGCACTAAACGATTAACTTCGGTCAGATATCAACAATAAAAGGTTTTCTGCAATCAAACCCTAGGTCACTGATTGCCTCAACTGGACATCTCATAATGCCTCCAACAGAGAAACTTATACAAAAAAGAGAGCAAGCGGGGATCGGTTATATGGCTTTAAATAAGAAATTGCACAGAGAAGATGAGAGAAGGTCATTGCCATATCTCTATTTTGATGGAGAAGGTGCAACTTTTGGTAAGCCCTAAACAATGTTAGAACAATACAGCAATCACATGCTTTAAAACAACTCAACTATTATGAGCGTCCATTCCTCCCTCGCACCCAAATTTTTACATATAGCTGAAAGCAATCCTAGCAAACTAAATAAACAACAGACCACAGTCAAAACTGGAACCCCTCGCCAGATTCCTTATTCTGAGTAATCCATGAATTTATTTAAATTGCAAGAAGCTTGTTTTTTGAGCAATTAATTGCAAGAAACTTACTTCTCATGTAACTTGATCAGTGACCTTGGTCTCTGATATCCTTCTTCCTTCTCTTGAGGCTTAGGTTTCTTTGCCTGTCTTGATTCTGGTTTCCAGCATGCATTGACAAGAGACTGACCCAACAAATCAGCAACATCAATAGCCATTTCTTCTGCTTTCCTCACGTATGGAAAGGTTTCCTCCTTGAAATGATGAGATAACCATAGATACATGGATAAAACTTGGTGTTTAGTCTCAAGATCCAGAAGTTCGGCATCATTTTTAGCAGAACCTTTTGGAATGCCCATTGCTATGTTAACAGGGACATTTTGACTGTAAGCTGAAGCAAACCGAAGGAGATGATACATTGCTTTCGGGTCTCTAACATTGACTGGAGCAAAACAAAAGTTGAACCGATCTTCTAGAGATAGTCCCTGGACCTTTTCCAACATATTGGCTACCTTCTTAATATGATCATGTCGGCACAAAAAGTATGACCCATCCAAACGGCAATTTTCACCAAATTTTTCAAGCAACTGGCAAAAAGTAATATTAGGGAGTTGCCCAGCAAACAATTCAACCTGCTCAAAAAAAGGAAAGAGGCCCACTTTCTTAACTTCTTCAAAGGGTTGCTTTAAACACTCAATTAGATAATCCAGATCATCTAAATGCAAGGTTGTTGTCAGTCCATCTGGATAACGGCTTCCTCTGCGGCCAGCTCTTCCAGCAATTTGCTTAACCTGTGATGCTGGGACTGCAACAATCTTGTCCCCATTGTATTTTGAAAGACTATAAAAGACAACCCTCCTAATATTAAGATTCAATCCCATTCCCACAGCATCACTGGCAACAAGCACATCAAATTCATTATCTTGATCATTAAACAAGTTAGCTTGCTGTCTGCGAGTCTCCGGTGGTAGGGCACCATAAATAACACAGCAGCGGTGACTTGTGTGTTTCTCAATAGCCATTTTCACCTCAAATATCTCTCTCCTTGAGAAAGCAACAACACAATCACCAGATCGAACATTTTGAAGGTCTCCCAGTAGAGTCTTGGCTTCAACCACTAATGGTTTGAACCGGTCATAATGATTTTCATGCAACTCATCTCCAGTATCTGAACAGATCTTTCTGACAATACTCAGAACACTTGGATCTCCACACAAATGTATCTCATCAGCTTTCAATCCAAGCAATGCCCGTGTCCATGCATAACCTCTATATGGGTCCGACATCATCTGGATTTCGTCAATCACAGCTACATCATACAATTCATCTGTTGATACCATTTCAACAGTACAGGCAACGTGATTCGAAAATGGGACATATTTCTTTTCTTGCCCTGTGTGGAGACTACAGTAAACTCCTTGTGCATTCACTTTGTCAAAAACTTCCATAGCCAAAAGCCTAAGTGGACTGCAATAAATACCCTTCTTTGCTTCCATAAACCGCTGCAAAGCATTGTATGTCTTGCCACTATTTGTTGGACCACAATGATAAATAATCTTACGCTTCATTGCCCGTGCAAAGGGAAACCATGTATGTGGCTTTGTAAGATCTGCTGATTGAATCATACTTCGAAACCGCTTGATATCATTGGGAAATTCTTCAATACAGAACTCCACAAATATAGGGAAAAGAAACTTAACAGCAACATCAGATGGACCCAGTGATATCACGTGCTTGACAACAACAGCAGAACACTTCTTAAAGAAAAAGCTACGAAACTTACGAGCAGCAGTTGGAAAAAATGACCTGCCAACGTAAATTGCAAGAGACTGATTGGCTGCCCACCCTGATTTACTGAAATAATTGAAAACTTCCTGCAGAATCTCCCAATCCGCCCGATTTAGCTTCATACCTTTTTCAGAATTACGAAGCTCCTGATACAATTTCACAGGATCACAAAATGCAACATGCTCACCACACACAGTTCTATCATTACCTACATCATCACTTTCACATTTAGATTCAACAGTTGTTGAATCACACAGACCATTATCATTAAAATCATCAACACCATCCTCATCCCTATTCTCATTGACACAATCAAAATCAATACTTCTCATAAAATCCACAATATCCTTATTCTCTTTATCACTTCCATGCTCTGACTCAACATCTCCTGAACCATACATACCATTCTCATTAAAACAACCAACACCATCTTCACCCTTATTCTCATTGACACCATCAAAATCAATACTTTTCACAAAATCCACAATATTCCTCCCCTCTTTAATTCCTTCCATTCTTGATCCACGCATTCCTCTATCCTCCCCACCATCATCATCCCCATTTTCAACAACAGATGAAAATGGTTTAACACTAACACATTCAGAATTCCTAAATTTACCAACTAAACCAATCAAACTCGTAGAAAACTCTCGTTTGGGCACATCAAAAGATGGCACAAAAGGGTCCTTATCCAAAACCCAGTTCTCAAATTGTCTAAAGGGATGAAAATATCGATTGGATAACATAAACTTAACTCTAGAAACATTGTTGTTGGATGTATAGATTCTAAGCAGAAACGTTGTTACGCCTCTTCCCATTTAATCCCCACATAAAAAAAAAAAAAGAGCAAAAACCCAATACTATTTTCTGTTTTTGTTTTTTTCTTCTTTAGGCGATCAAACTTTGAAATTGTAATAAGTTAACAGGAGTTAAATTTTGTGACAAAATAGGAAGAGTTTTAGGCAAATAAAAATAATGGAAAACTGAAAGAATTGGATGGAGCTTACCTGGAGGGGATTGAGAGACAGAGAAAGAGAGAGGAAATGGAGGGAAAAATGGTGGTTAGGGTTAACCCACCAAAAACCCTAAACCCAGAGTCGGTTTGAAGTATGTACTAGACTCAGTCCGATTGGAGTCCATGGACTCGAAGCTTAGTGCGCTTTGTGGCCTTTGAGATGGCCCAATTGCTTGAAAACATCCAAAAGAATATTTTTTTACATCTAAACATTATGAAGCCCACATATTCTAACATTCAATTAATATTATTATTTGTTAGGATTGAGATGGTATTAACATATCATTGATTCATTGTCATTCCTACTCATTTGTTCTTTGAAGTTAAAACAATTTTTTTATGTATTTTTCTGCAGATGATGAGCTCCTATTCTTACTATTATTCACTTGGATTACGTAATATTGGATTTGATATCATGTCTACAACTAACATCGCCCCCAGCCATCAAGAATCGAACAATTCTAATGAAGAAATGAAGTGATGATATTTGCCTACAACAGCTCCTCTCTTTGCCATATATTTCCACAAGCATATAATCCTCCTCTGTACAACATGGGAAATTGACAAATTGTGGTAGTTTCAACATGTTATCATCCTACAATAGATATTTGGAGAACCTGTCAGGAACTTATTTCCTCTAGCATTACTGGCAGATCCATATTCTCGCCGCCCCTTTGAATCTTTAAGATTACCTTATCCCCCACATTGTAGTCATCCAATGCTTTGTATAACTCTCCTTTGTTTCTAACCTGATGAGAGGTTGCAAAATGAAAACAAAGCATTTTAAATATCAAATGTCATATGAATAACTGCATTGAATGTAATGCACATTAAGGGAAAGGACTTCATTCCAACATGGTTGGCACCCCAGGTTGACAAAACGACGAGTTAATTGATTGACTTGCCACCCCTAAAGTTCAGGTTTGGACTAACAGACCAAAAAATTGCTCACATCTTTTCTCAACTGGAAGAATGCAAAATCAGAATGGAAGTGATCGAGAATGATAACTTAATGTAGACATGGAAGAATGAAGAGGAGTCCAATGATTTCTAGCCAGTCAGATTCTTGATTAACAAAACAAAGTTCTAGCTTACTTTCAAAATTACATAGATAATTTATCATGCTGTGTGATGTTATAAGAACCACTTTGAGATGGATAACTAGAAGAGCAAAATCTTAACTAAGAAAAAACTCACAGGTTTGTTGTTGACTGCAAGAATGATATCCCCAAGTATAATATTACCAGCAAAACCCCTGGTGGTGGGGAGTAGCCCAGCCTTGGCTGCAAGACTGTTCCCAGGAACCTGAAGTACCATGCACTGAAGATAAGAAACCTTTAAATATTCTACAAGCAACAGCCTATCGACCATATTGAGTCTCTAACTTACTGAAAAGATGGGTGTACTTTTAAAATTCAAGCTAAATGTGGAATACCTGAAGGATAAGGGCTCCTTTTCGAACATTAAGTTGATTGGCAATAAGCTCAGGAGCAATTTCAATATTCAAACCTGCTCGAACAGCCTGGCAGTGGATGAACAGTGAGATAGGAAGTACTAGAGATTGTTCATAAAGGGTATCAGCAGGTTAAAATCATTCGGATGCTTAACTCTTAATAATAACAACCATCATTTTATCCCCAAATATTGCAGAAAAATGAGTGTAGTGCTGCTTAAAATACACAGCAGGTGAGTGAAAGGTCTTTATTGAGAAGATGAGGTGAAAAGGGTACAGAAAAGATCAAAACTAAGAGGAGACCAAGAATTTGACCTTGAATTCATACATAGTAATGCAACTTACTTTGCCAAACTGGATCAGCTGAGGTACAATCTTGAGCACTGTGGAGGATGGGATGGCAAATCCAACACCTGCTGATGTACCTGAAACACAAATAATAAAATCAGAATGCAATTAGTAGGGAGCTGCTGGGTTTTATTACTACTATTACTTTTGGCCAGAGGAAACATCTAATAATGAAATATATCTTCTCATAAGGATAGAGCAATCAGTACTCCATAATCATTCCTACAATCTTATTTCAGATTACGGCATACAACATATCCAACAAACAAAAGAACGTAAAATAACCTGTCTGTGTAAATATAGCTGTATTAATTCCAATCAAATTTCCTTTTGAATCCAATAGAGGACCTCCACTGCAACACATAAAGAAAGCCAAGAAGTAGCAAGCAGTGAACAACTTTTTTAAAGACATTAACTTAAGAAATTTCAAGAAGGATACTGAGGATTTGACAAATCATTTAGTGAACCTATTTCCAGGATTGATGGCTGCATCTGTTTGAATTCCACCACCAATTGTGACTCCAGTTTGACTAAAAATATCTCGATTCAATCCACTAATAACTCCAACGGTAAGGGTATGATCGAAACCAAATGGATTTCCAATTGCTAGGCATTGCTGTCCTACTCTTAGAGTAGATGATTGGCCCAACTTAATTGGCCTCAACAAATCTTCAGAGGCTTCTACCTAGCATGTTGAAGAGATCAGCATCAGTTGCTCATAAACTTTCAGCAAAACTATAATATTATAAGAATATATGCACAATAAGAGCTGCATTGACTGGATGGATAATTCGATCAAGCCTATGTCATTATGGATATACCTTTTTTTCCTTTGTTTTGGTACAAAGTAGATACAATGTTTTTAAAAAAATATTTGAGTTAATACAGATTTTTTTTTTATAATCTCATTGTTTAGGAAATCACAGTTTCAATGTTAATATTACTCATTAAATATTCAGAGATAAACAACTGAAGCTCAGATATAGAATAATCCCATGTAACTGTCCCTTGCGCGAGTAGGCTAGTTCTGAAATTGGTGTGCTATCATGTGAGCATGCATATATACACAAGTTAAGATCAGCTTGAATCTGAGTAACAATTATTGATGGTTATGCATATCTTTTTGTTTAATTTGGTGTAATTATAAATTCCATTATATCAACTGTTGCATTTTAATGGTCTATTTATGTAGACTGTAGATCATGAATTTCAAGTTTCAAGTTGATAGAATATGTGTAACAAAAAGGTTTTTCCATATATTGGTGTAGCTTATCATCTGATCAGACCAACCAATCAAGGCAGTTTCAGACAGTATTTTACAGGAAGATCAACAGAAAACATACCTTTAAAACAGCAAGGTCTTTAGTGCGGTCGGCACCAATCAACTTACCCTCAAAATTTTTTTGTACCCTAACAGCATTAAAATATTAGAGAAACAGCTGCAGCAGACCAAACTTAATACCAAATAATGCAGTTCAATTTACCAATAAAGACTAAGGGCACTGCAAATCTCACCCTTCTGATGCTAGGATATTAACTCGTGCAACAACTTGCCCAGGACTTGGATTTCTTGAGAGGGAATTGCCTATCACTGAATATGCAAACAGACTGTTTAATCAAGAAAAGATAACAAGGAAAGGAAGGAGAGAAGAGGGGGTATAGAAGAAAAATATAAAGGAAGAATCTTATCCTGATATAGCTGATACTGACACAGATTAACATTACATAGGGGGATCAGTTAAGCATCAACTAGGATTCCCATGCACTGACAATTCCTTATATAATCATGTATTATCACTCAACAAGCAGTTGACTGGCCATTCAAAGAAAAACTAGCAGATGACTGCTATGACAAACAGAGAGTCTATTGCAACTCTTGATGACCTTGATCAAAATACATTCTTGAGGTTCATTTATTAGCTCTTACCATGATAATTCGTCACAATATGCCCCTGTTCATCCCAGACAACACCAGAACCGTTTCCTTCTGGTATCTGCCAGTAAACATAATGTTGAAGCACCCGTAAAAGAGATAATCAGCAAGGGGAAATTTTAAAGTTAATGCAGAAAAATATACGTGATGGAGAGCTCTGAGCGTGTAAATGAGAGAAATAGAGCGAAAGAAAGTTTCTGAGCCTTCTCTGTCCATAAGATTGCATTAGAAGATTACAAACAATTAAAAGTCAAATAAAAAATAGAACAATACCTCAACAGCACCAGTTACATTAAGTTGCGGGCGCAATGTTACATCAAAAATGTTGACAACAGAGTATGTATTCTTTTCAAAGAGTTGGACAGTTCTATCCTGCCAATTTGACATGCATGAGTTAACACGTGCTAAATATCAGTGCAGAAGGGCCTTGAAACTATGAATTAATCACTGAATTCCAAAAGGAGGACAACAATGATCTTATAAAAAATGGACCTCAGAAGGGAAGAGAGCTCCGGAAGGGAAAACAGGAGGAGTTACATCTTCAACCCTAACCGTTGGATCCCCCAATGCTTGGGCTGCACATCCACAATGTATCCAATCATCAGAAGGAAATTGCTAAAAGTACAGAGATACACCCTTAAGTATGAAAGAAAGAATTACATTAAAGTTGAAGTGTTTATAACCCTAAGACAAAGCCACCTACACCAAATCATTTTCAATTGCATGGTTTCCATTAACTACTCTTTTGCAGTTTTTCAAAAACAAAAAAGACTTAGCTGCCCACCAATCTGCAGTTTCCAGTTTACTACTAAAAATTTTACTGGCAAGTACATTCCAAAGGACAACACCAGGTTTCATGACATTTACATGTGTAAGTTTAGTAGTTTATGATAAACAAAATCTAGTCAATAAAATTATCACTAAACCAAGGAAGACTTCATCAACCAACATAACCAATCCATACGAATTAAGTTCTTAAAATGGCTAAAGGGAAACCAAAGCTGAAATGTGCAGACCTGATAAGTACCTTGAAGGATGGTAACTCAAATATGCTAAAAAACTTGCTAACAGCATCCGCCTTGTTGCAAAAGGAATACTTTTGCCGATTATTTCTTCACCCAAATGCATGATTCCTTCACTAACCATCCTAAAAGAATCAATCAACAAAGATAAAACATCTCAAAACAAAACTCAGAAAAAAATGAAAGTTGAAATCTTTTTTCTTTAACATCCATGACAAGTACATAAATTTCAATTTTGGGCACTACTACTTGTATTTCCCTTCTACAATAAAAGCAAAACAGATAATATTTCATAG